CCCCCCGGGACGTCAAAGCTCACGGCCACGGCCCATCACCTCTCTCGATATGGTGCGGGCCAGGAGCGCAAGCAGCGACAGAGACAGTCGTCGAGCGTATGGCGGCCCGCTGCGGCCACCGCCCGAGGTCAATGTGGCCCGGGTGCTCGGGCATGCCCAGGAGGTGGCTCTTGCGCCGGTGGCCGATGCCTCCCTCCTGGCTGTCATCCGCACCCGGTATGGTCATCTGCTCGCACGAGCACGGCGTGGCCTTGACGAGCTCCGCGAGTATGTTGTTTCCGGCAAGGGCGAGGCTGCCCATGCACTTGATGACCCGCTGGTCATGGTTGAGCTCGAGGAACGCCTGGTCGGCTACGAACGGACGCTGGCGTTCTTGGAGAGCATCGCGCCGTCGCCTGTCGGCACTGATGCGGCTGGCGCTCTGCCGCATGGTGGCGGCGGCCGCCCGCGTGCGCCATCGTCTGATGGACTTGCTGTTCATCCTGAGCTCGGTCCTGATATGCAGCTGCAGGCCGAGGCCGCCCGACAGCGCCATGTCGCCGAGCAGATCCTCCGCGACGAGCTGATGCACTCGCCCAGCCGCGGTGAGCTGCCGCTGCCGCCGGCGACTGCGGCCTCGCCGCGGAGCCAGCTGCTAGGAAGTCACGACACGGGCGATGGGGATGACGGCAGCGGTCTACGTGAAGTTGCCTCCGCATCCGCCGTGGCACAAAGCGACGACGACGACGATGTCGACCTGGAACAGCTGCTCGAGGGCTCGCGCGGTGAGCAGGACGATCATTTGGCTGCAATGCGCGAGATGGCAGCAGAGATGAAAGCGCAGTCACTGGCGACGCGCTCGGCCATCCGCGCTGACCTCCAACGGCTCGAGAACGTCGACACCCAGGTCGATGCTGCCCTGGCCGCGACCGATAAGCTCAACGCGCGCGTGAGCTCGATCACCTCGAGCTTGTTATCGTGCTCGTCGATGACTTGCGTCATGGTTCTCTTTGTGGTAGCCGCGTTTATGGGCGTCTTTTGGGTTGTTAAGCTCTTCCCCAAATGAACACCTTGTCGGGACCTGCCAGACTACGCATTCGTCATCCGCTGCGCCACAACCAGGGTCTGCAGCTCGGTAACCGGAATGACGGCGCCGGGCTCGGGCCGCGGGCGGTCAAAGTTGGCGTCGCCGTTGACGATGAGCAGCGGGTTGTCGGCCTCGATAACCTCTGGGTTGACGGAAATGCCGTCGAGGTACTTTTGCAGGATGAGCTTGAGGTTGGCGTTCTCGTTGGAGAGCTTGGCCTTTTCGTTGGCGAGCGCCATCTTGTCGAGCAGGACCTTGTTATAGCGCTTGTAAAAGTTCTCGAGGTACTCCCACTCCGAGTCATTCATCGAGGCCGACGAGAGTTGCATGGAGCTCATCAGCTGAGCCACGTCGGGATGCAGCGGCTGGGCCGCGGCCTGCGGCGCAGCGGCCGAGGCGGAGGGCGCGCCAGAGGAGGCGGCAGCGTCGTGGGTCGACGCGTAGAACGGGAGCACCTTCTCCTCCTCGGTCTCCAGCTTGCGGTTGATCTCGGCAAGGTTGAGGATGGCTTCGGCAAGCTCGAGCTTCTCCTTCAGCCGGTTAATGCACGCCTCCGAGTGGATGGTGAGGTCTGTCAGCCGCCGCCGCTCGTCGGACCGGAACTTGTTCATCCGGTTCTTGAGCTTGAGAAAGTGCTTGGCCACCGCGTTCTTTTCTTCCAGCAATGCCTTGTTGCGCTCCGAAAACTCACGCTCGTTGGTAGCAATTTTGGCTTTGATCTGATCCTTGAGCGTCTGCAACCGCCGGATGAGCCGGTGGTTCTTGGCAATGAGCTCGGCATTCTTCTTATCCTGCTTCTTGTCCGTCTTGAACTTGTTCTGCCGCGCGTTGGTGTGTGCGTTGTAGTTGTCCATGGCGTGGCGGAATGCCGAGTACAGCTCAAGCACGTTGGTCCGCAGCTGCGACGACATCGTCGCCAGCTCCTCATCGTGGTTCCGCTTCAGCTCGTCCATGTAGTTGCGGTGGAACGTCGTGATCGAGTGCTCCGTCTCGCGGAACTCCTCCTCCATTGCCGCCATGATGTCCTTGAGCTCGCGCACTTCCACCTTGTGCACCTCGATCGCCTCGGACCGCTCCTGGTCAAAGTCGCCGCGGAGCTGGGCAAGCTCCTCCTCAAACGCACGCTCCAGCAGCGCCAGCCGCTCGTCGTGCACTCCAATGAGCGAAGAGACCGAGCTCAGATGCGCCCGCACTGCCGTCTGGTACTGCTCCTCGGACTCGTCCAGGTCCACCATCAGCATGTTGATGATCGCGTCCTTGCGGTCGGCCTCGCGCTCGTAGCTCTGTGCCAGCACGGCCACCTCGGACCGGAGCTCCTTGACCTTGGCCTCGCGCATGACCTCGCGCCACGACGCCTGAATCTTGAGCTTGTTTGTTGCCGAAAACTCGGCCTCCTCCGCCAGTCGTGCCTCCAGCGCCTTTCGCAACACAGTCTCCTTGGCCCTGGCCTCCTGCGCCGCCTTTGCCCGCAGGCCGGCCTCGTACGCCTCGCGCTCCTCGGGGCTCATGTTCTCCAGCCGCAGCCGTTTGCGGCGGGGCATGGTGGAGAGGGGGTGAGAGAGGGCGGTTGTGCTTGGTGGCTAGTCTGGTGTGGGGCTAGTCCCGCTACTGCCGCTGCTTCTGCTGGTGGGGTGTGCCGCCCGTTGCTCTCCTCGCCGCCTGCTTTGTCGCTGTCAGCTGTTTGGCTGTTGGCTCCTCGCCGCCATCCGCCGCCAACCGCCAAACGCATCATCAATCAACAACTAAAATCATTGCTCATGCCTTCAATTCGCTCCAACTGGGCTCATTCCGCCAACGAGTCGCGACCGCCGCTGCCGCTGTCTGTGTCTCTGTCTCTCTGCCTACCAGTCACGCCGCCACCAGTGTACAGGGAGAGGGAGAGGGAGAGGGACAAACAGTTCTCCCCCTTCTCTCACTCATGCGTAAACTGGTGGCCGTTCTTGGCGCGGTTCTCTTCGTCGGCGCACTCAACATGGTCCTCCTTGCGCCTGCTCCTCTATCAGGCACGCGGCAAGCTGGAGGTGGGGCGAGTGCGAGTGAGAACGACGCCATGGATGCACGCAAGGACGTCATCTTTGTCTCGGTCGCCTCATTCCGCGATCCGCTCTGCCCGCTCACCCTTGCCTCGGCTCTGCTCGCCGCCCGTCGTCCACAGCGGGTTGTTTTCGGCCTCGTTGACCAGGGCGTCGCCAGTGAGCCCGATGGCGAGCCCGACGCAGCCTCCTTCGAGCCGTGCGCCCAGGCGCTGGAGCGACTGTATGGCGATGAGATCCGTGTCGCCACTGGGTGCCCAAAGCCCGGTCCGTTCGACTGTTCAGGCTTCCTCCGCGAGATCCGCGTCTCCGAGGCCGACTCGCGCGGACCAGCAGTGGCGCGTGCGATGGCAACCAGCCTCCTGCACGGCAACGACGCGTACTACATGCAGATCGACTCCCACACTGTCTTTGGTCCCCACTGGGACACTGCGCTCATTCGCATGCTGAATGAGGCTGCCGAGCTTCACAACCGCCATCACGACTGCACCGACGGTCTCGATCACGCCGTCATCTCTTCGTACCCCAACGAGTACTCGGCCGACATGACCGCCTGCGACGACGAGCTGCACTGCACTGTCCGCGCCGCCGCCAAGGACGCACATGCCTCGGCGCTGGGTGCTGACGCCGCCGTCAACTGCATCTCGTTCATCGAGCCGAACATCAGGCTCACCTTTCATCAAGCCATGGGCTTTGCGCCCACCGTCCGCGTCGCAAAGTGGTCGGGCCTCTGGGCCGCCGGTCTCTCGTTCTCGCGGGCTTCTGTCTGGCGCGCTGTACCGTACGTTTCTGATCTCAACTTTTTGTTCCACGGCGAGGAGCTGTTGCATGCCGCGCGACTGTTCACCCACGGCATCGACATCTTCGCTCCCTCGTCCAACGTTGTCTACCACAAGTACGCCGGCCGCAAGTCCGGATCGGTCTACACCTCGGCCGCTTACGGCTCGTCCAGCGCCGCTATCCTCACCCACAAGTCGGCTGCCAAGGCAAAGCACCTGCTCGGTGCCCCGCTCTCGCCCGCCGAGTCCATCCACCTCGACCTTCCCATCCCGCCTGCCGATGCCCTCGGCACTGCCCGCTCGCTTGACGACTTTTGGGCCTACACCCTCATTGACATCCAGAATCTGGTCTTTGGTGAGCGATGCGTCAATACCTCGTCGCCCGACGGCGCCTACCTCAACATGCTGCCGTCCGTCCACGCTCGCCCCACATGGCGTCCGCTCAATCCGCCTTCTCTCGACTAGCAGGCTGCTTTCCCACCCCCATCCCCACCCCCCACCCCACACATACACACCATCCTTTAATACGTGACTCACTACGCTTGCCTTGCACTCACCGATCTCTCTCCGATTGGAAGGTTCCTCCCTCCACCTCAAAACCCCGCGAAGCACGCTGTTGTTCGCCGCTCACCAACAAACACTACAAACTTTGTGCGAGCCACCGACGGAACACCGCGCCCAAACACGCAAACCACACCCGCACCACAGCCAAGCACTTGCGGCAAGCCACCCCTCTTCCCCCCTCACACCAACACAGAATGCTCTCACACCAAGAATTTGTGCCGTCAACACGCGCCTCCGCTCCTGCGGCCCGCAACCCTGTCTCCGGCTCGGCCTACGCCGCGTCCGAGAACATGCCGGCACTTTCCAACGTCGCACCCATCCGCCAGCGCGCGCCAAAGTCCAACAACATTTTCGGCGGCTACGAGGCCCAGACTGCTGCTCCGGCTCGCGCTGCCCGGCCGGCCGCTCGCCCGGCACCGTTTGCCACCTCGCAGGACCAGTCGCAGGCTGAGACCTCCCGTGCCCGCCGCTTCCTCCGTGGCCCGCAGGATCACGACATCTTTGGCGCCGGCGAGGCGCCGGTCGCGTCGCCGCCCGCACGCGTTCCGCGTGCCGCGCCCGTCGACTGGGACGCCGATGCCTACCGTCAGCCTGCCGCGCCGGTCTCGCATCGCGCTCGCATGTCGTCCGACATCTTCCATCAGGGCGGCGAGCAGTCCGCTCCGGCCGCGTACTCGCCGGCCTCGGCCTACCAGACTGCCTCGCGCGCTGCCTACGGCGCCGAGGCCGCCGAAGACTACGCCGCCCCTCGCGCGGTCGCTGCTGCTCCTGGTCCGCAGCTCTCGTACCGCCCGGTCGACAACGACATCTTTGGTGCGCCCGCTCCGCAGCGCGTCGTCCGCCGCTCCGCCCCGGCCCCCGCACCCTACGCCACCGGCGCGAGTGCCGCTTGCGCCCCGTCCGCCCGCGAGGCCGCCGGCCAGGCCCGCGACAACAAGGATCTCGCCCGGACCTACCGCCAGCGCGGCCAGTCGTCGTTCACCCTCTCCGACGGCTCGTGCTAATCCCCGCAGCCTGCTGCCTCTTATTTTCTTCTCTCTCCCACAGGGTTTGAGCTCGGCTCCCACCTCGGCACGCCTCTCTCCAGCCCTGCAACACGGCGCCTCTGGCGCATAATGTACCTTTGCCGGCTTGCGCGCGCTTCCATCGCGCACCGGCCACAGCCTCCCGCTACTGTCAACAGCGGTGAGATAGAGTCCATCAAGTAGCCAAACGACTGTAGCACCATGACTTCACAGATCTGGACGAGAGGCGATGAGCGAAGCCGCGAGCGCACGAAGTCGCGGCCGCGACGTCCGCGCGTAGCATCGCGCCTCCCACATGAGCGAGACGATGACCACCAGGTCACCCTCGTCAAGCGGCGCGTCCGAGAGCCACGGGTTGAACCGCATGAACGCCGAGTGCTGCTGCGCCGCCATGTACTCGACAGCCTGTGTCTCGTTGGCCGCAAACGATGCCGACGTCAACGTCTCCATCACGTTCTTGAACGCATTGATCTCGCGCATGTGCAGATTGCCCGAGACCAGCGACGTCGCCAGGCGGTTGACCGTCGAGCCTGACCCGCCCGACGAGTGCAGAATCTTGGGAATGATCCGCGGCGAGAGGTCGTCGACAGAGCGCGGACCGCGCGCCCGCGCCGTCCCAGTCCCCAGGTTGACCACGTGCGCCACGTCGAGGTCCGCCGTCTCGAGCAGCGCCGGGATGACCGGCGAGTTGTACACCAGCGCTCCGTCGCAGAGCACGAGGTCTCGGTGCAAGACCGGGTCATGGAACGGATGCGGCGGGAAGAACGTCGGCGCCGCCGCCGTCGCCAGCAGCGCGTCGGTCACGGTGCCAGCGGCAGTGCCATCAAAGGCAAACTTTGACGACGTCTCGTAGTTGCGGAAGAGGAAGGTGGATGGCGGAAGTAGCGTCGCATTGGTCGCAACCACAAAGACCCGCGACGCCGTGAAGCTCGACATCATCACATCCTTGCCAATTAGGGAGTCCACAATGCTTGCCAGTCGCGCTGGCTCGTACGGCGGATCCGACCGTGCAAAGACCTCGGCGGCAAACTCAAAGTACAGCCGCGAGCAGTCGTCGAGCGAGAGGCCCTTGATGCCAAGCGCTGCCGCCAGGATCCCCCCTGTCGATGTCCCGCAGAGAACGTCAAAGACGTCTGTGACCTGCAGCGCGTCACCGCGCGAACACAGCGCGCTGCACTCGGCCATGAGCTCGCGCAGGAGCTCGACCAGAATGAGCCCACGGATGCCGCCGCCATCTAGTGCGAGCACGTTCGCGCTTCCTGACCGTGACGCAAGAAGCGCCGCAGCATCGTCTGCTGTAAACGGCTCTTCCTGGAACGAAAGCAGCGCTGCAAGAAGCTGCTCGTGTGCCAGCAGAGACTCATCCGAGGTCAGGAGCCACTCGATGTTAAGCCCAGCGTCGACAAGGGCGTGGAGGCAGGCATAGTGCCGGACGAGGTCACCAGAGCTCGGCAGAGCGTTGCGGATCGACTCGACAATGGCGACGAGTGCCGGCCGGAACCGCGGATCGTCGCCGGTCATGCCGCCAAAGACCACAAAAGCACGCAAGAGGTCGACCGAGCCCAACGCCGCAGCTTGTTCCACGTGCCGTGGTTCAAAAGGGGCACCGAGCTGCAGGAGTGTGCACACAGAACTGACCACCTGTCGGACCTTGGGCAGGACCTTGTTCTTTTTGCGGATCCGCTTGGCAATCGTCGGATCGTTAGCCTTGGCCAGCTCACCTTCCAGTGCCGCCAGTGTCGCCACGTGGTCCGACACCGCCGCCATTGACCAGTCGAGCGCCCGACTCCCGCCGTGGCCAAGCAGCACCAGCTGCCGGACACACGAGACAGCGGCAGCTTCGACTGCAACCCGCATGGCATCCTCGCCCTTGCTGTTCTCAGTCTCTGGAGCGACGCCGTGGAGAACGAGCGATTTGAGAATCGCAGCCTCGTTGAGCGAGGCCGCGACGTGGACCACCGTGTTGCCGGCCGCGTTTGGTACCGAGAGCTCGGCGGCAAGGCCGCTCGCGCCCTTCACCGCGGGATCCGCAAGCAGCGCTCGGAGGAGCCACAGATACAGCGGGTGCAGATCCGGATCAAGCGAGCTGGGCAACGGCTTGGACGAGACAGCCAGGCCGGCACCCGGTGACGTGGGCGGCGCCACCGGATGCTGGGCAGCAGGTGCGACGCTGGTGCTGGCGCCGGCAGAAGCGCTCGCCTCAGTCTCAGCCTCGGCCACGGCCTCGGCCGCAATCTCGAGCTCAAGCTCAAGCGCCATGTTTTGGGCCGGATCGGCAGCCGCAAACTCAGGATCGCCGATCAGCTCGATGGCGATGTGCAGCGGTGTGTTGCCGAGCGAGTCACGGATAGTCATCAGCGAGCCGCCGGTCTTGACAAACTCGACAAAGTCAAGCAAGCCAGACGCAATGGCAAAGTACAGGACCTGGTCGGCCGGCGGCGTGGCGAGCGTCGTCCGGGCCGAGAGATAGCCCGGCAGATCCTTGCGGAGAATGTACTTGCGGATCGGGCTGAGGAACTGCGAGGTGGCCGGCGACGGCGGTCCAGTCAGTGGCGGCGCCGATATATAGGCGGCAACAAGTGGATCAAGCCAAACCGCGCGCTCGTAGTCCTCCAGCATCGAGGTGTAGGTCTTGGACGATGACGAGACGCCGTGGAGCGACGAGCCGTACTCGTTGATGATGTACCCGCCCACAACCAACCGATACGTCGATGTCCGGCTTCCTGCCCACCGCAGCAGTGCCACAGCATTGTACGCTGGTGGAGCAAACGAGACCTCGGGTGGATGGAAGGTCTTGAACTTGCTGGTGTTGGAGGCTTCGTCGGCCCTGGTGTACGACGAGAGCCACTCGGCGGCTGCCGACGTCATGCGCCTGATGAGTCCAGCCATGGCGTAGTGTGTAGCTGACTTGAGCCCTGATGCCTGATGAGAGAGATACCGCTGGTAGTGTGTGCCTGTACCTGTGTGCCTGTCTCGCTGTGGCTCTGTCTCCCTTCCTCACCTCTCAGAACAGAGGAGTCGTGTGGTCGGTCGCGTGTGCGGGCTGACCGGCGTGCTCAGCTTCTTCAGCTAGACGCCACTGCTGCTGCCAGTGCCACTGCTACCGCCACCGCCACCTGGTGGCAGAGCATCCAAACCATCACGATCCATAGCCATGGCCATGATCGATAGCCATGATTGATAACCACAATGAGGGATCGATGACTTCAATGAGGAAGCGCAGCAATCAATTCTATTCGATTGGAGTGTGTGTCGGTCGTTCGTTGACTGGCCAGCAAAGCAGCAAAGCATACATGGCCAATGACCGACACTGCCACCACGCGTGAGAAAGAGGGAGAGCCACCGAACCGGGGGAGCGACAGCTTCTCTCAGACAGGCAGCATGGCGGACGCGCTGCAGGCCGAGAATGAGCAGCTGCGGCAGCAGATTCAGACGCTGACCCAGGAGAAGCAGGCCACACTGCAGCGTGTGCAGGTATGTTGGCAATAGTGTAGCTTGCCGCCTTCCCCTCCCCTCCCCCCCCCCCCTCGGTGATACGGGTGGCGACAGCTGGCCGACCGACGCCGTTTTTTTGGCCGACAACGCTTCCATTTTTTGCTCAGGCAGGGGCATAGAGGCGCTCCCCGAGGTGGGAACCATGCCTTGGGGTATGGTGGGCATGCCTTGTATCTGTGTTTCCTTTTGGGGCGCTCTGGGTGCTGTGTAGCGTGGGTGGTGGAGGTCGGGTCGTCCCGCCGGGTCGCCGTCGGTTCTTGGCTCGCCTCGGCAGCCTGTGAGTCCGCCAACCCTCCGCCGCTTGCTGCATCCCCCTTCCCCTCGCGCCCAGTGTGAGCAGGAGGACAGCGGATGCGAGGGATAAGTAGTTGGCGGAAGCAGAAGGGGTGACCCGCGTCGAGCTTGGGCATAGTCCCCCACTCTGCCTGAAGAGCAAGCGAGGCGCGGAGGAATGCGAGCCGGTGTCGGCTGCCGAAAACCGCATGTTCGAGTTCAGTCGGCGAGCAAGTGCGGAGGGGGGAGGGGGGGGGGGGGGGCAGAAGGAGGGAACGAGTGGGGAGTGGGCGGAGCAGAGCTTGTCGGCTGGTGGAGGGAAGGGGTGTGTACCCGGGGTAGCAGAAGGAGCACGGGAGAGCGGGTAGAAGCACGGGAGAAAGTGTCGGTATGCGGGGGTGGCGGCGGCGACTCACAGTTATTGGCGACGTTGAACGAACAGGTCAAGCTCTCGCAGCTAATTGCGCAGAAGAATCAGGCTGCCAACCTTGTTGCAGAGCGGGAGGCGCAGAACAAGCAGCTGCTGGAGCAGCTGCAGAACCCATCTGAGCAGCCGAGCGACGACGTGGAGCAGATGACGCTGGAGGAGCTGCGGCAGCGGGTGGCGGCGCTCGAGTACGACCGGTCGACGCTGCAGCAAAAGATCAAGACGCGACTCTCGGGCCTCATTTCTGAGAAACACCAGAAGACGCAGCGGATTAAGGAGCTTGAGCAGCGGCAGGTGAACCCGGCCGAGCTGCAGAGCCTGAAGGAGAAGATTCAGGACCTGTCCGAGGAGCGGATGGAGCTGACGCAGAAGATTGCCGAGGCGAATGCGCAGCTGCAGGACGTGCAGGTCTGGCTCCACCAGAACCACGAGCTTCGTGAGCAGCTCGACCAGCTCATGGTCGAGTCGCGGCAGATCCAGCAGCAGATCACGGACATCCAGCAGGCGCACGACAAGGCAGCGTCCGAGATCCACGAGTACTCGAACCAGATTGCGCAGCTGGAGGAGATGAATGCCGACTACGAGAAGAAAATCCAGGAGCTGAAGGAGGCCAACCGGTCGGCGTCGGCGGCTGTGGAGGAGAACCAGGCGCTGCGTGCCGAGGTGGCTTCGCTCTCTGCGCAAAGGCAGCAGATGACGCTCCAGCTCACACAATACGAGCAGTCGACGACGACGGCATCGGCACAAATCTCGGCCGAGTTGTCGGCGCTCCGGGCCAAGGTCTCGGCCTCCGAGTCGGAGATGAACGAGCTGCAGGCTCAGATGACCGAGGCCCAGCAGAAGCGCGACAAGGCCCTCGAGGCTGTCGAGGCGCTCCGCAACCAGAAGACCGCCCTCTCTGCCGAGAAGAAGGGTCTGCAGACGCAGATGCAGCAGATGCAGCGCAAGGCCGACATCGACGCCATCGAGAACGAGCAGTACGAGCGGACGCTCAAGGAGATCACCGAGTCCAAGAACCTCCTCACCGCCCACATCAAGGAGCTCGAGGCCGAGATCGAAAAGGGCCAGGAGTGGGACAAGCAGAACAAGCAGCTCCGTGCTGACATGAAGGTTCTCCGCCAGGAGAACTCGGCTCTGGAGCAGCAGCTCATCCAGCTCGAAAAGGGCTTCCAGGTCACCGATGCCTCGGCCTCGGACGCGGCCGCCTCGGACGCTTACAACGACGTGCCCGACGAGGATATTCTCGGCTCGCTGGCAGCATGAGCTCCACCTCCTGCCTTCAATCTGTTGCTTCTCGCAGCCGACCGCAGCCGGCCGCAGCTGGCCTTGTGAAACACACACCCCTCCCCCCCAACCCATCGCCGCGTTGCCTGCGAGTATCCAAGGAGCGCGAGCAGCACGTGCGGACGCGAGTGCAAACGACCACCGACGTCCACGCCTCTGCCACTCGACGCTCAGGCGAGAAAGAGAGATCATGGCTGCGACACGCAAGCTTCTAGTCATCATCAACGCCCTCTTCTTCATCTGCGGTGCCGGTATTGCTGCCATGGGTGGCCTTGCGCTCTCCGACACCGACATGGGGCTTTCGCTGGTGGACAAGAACCTAGGCATGGGTAAGTAGGACGGAGACGGGAAGGAAGGGGGGAGGAGGGGAGGGGGGGGGGGGGGGAGGGGTAGGGAGGGGAGGAGGGGGGGA